CCGTGTGGCGGCCGGAGCCCGCCGCGGCGGGCGGCCCGGCAGGTGAGCGGAGGCTCGGGGCTCTTCGCGTCGCCCGGGGCCTGAGGGTGTTGCGGGGGATGGGGAACGGGACGCGGCTTCGCGGCCGGCGGGCAGGGTTGGTGGCCCGGGCGGGAGCCCGCGCGTCCTGTGAGGGCACCGAGGGAGTCTCGCTGCCTCCCGCTCCTCCGCCCGGCCGGGCAGATCCCTCGGCACCCCGGGACGGCCCCCGGGCTGAAAGTGCCCGACCCGCTGCCCCTTCCCGGCCCCCCTCAGGTGGGTGGCCCCTCTCCTTGCCCGTGGAGGCTTCCCCCCCCCCCCCCTTGCTTTAGGCGTGCTCTCGTTGAGCCGCGGATTGGAGCAGTTCGGGAGTGTGTCGTGGGACCCTGGCGCATTGCTATTGCCAGCCGGACCAGAAATGCTCTTCAGCTACTGATAGTTGTTCTGGTACTTTAATGGATTAATTCCTTTGACTTTTCCTCCCTGTGTGTTTTAGATGCCAAGTGGAAAACAATAACTGACCAAATTAAGAAAGCTGTGGAAGTCTATAAGCCGTGTGTAAAGGCGAATTGCAGCTGCTACCAAAGGTGAGAGAGACTGGTTTTCTTTTTGACTCCACAGGCCTCTGGCCGTGAGAGGGAATACTTTTGCCAGCACTGATGGTTGGGAATTAGCTAGAGAATATTTGGGCTCTAAGGTATCACATCTGCAGCCATCATAGGTCACGGTGCTTGCAAGGAGGAGGTTGTTACTAGCATTGTGTGAAACAGGTTGACCTCCGTAGTTCCAATAGAAGGTGTGTCCGCCTGTAAACTGATCACACTTATTGTTGTTCTCTGCGATTGAACATACGCTATGTCAGCATTTCATGTATGATCACACAATAAACCATACACACAGCTGGTGACGTTTCTGTCTTAACAATCCACTTCTGCCTTCTCTCTCAGTGCAGTGTTGCTAAAAAGTCTTTCTCATGGGCTTTCAAAAGTGGAAGAAATCAAGTATGTGCAGAATGTTCTAAATAGCTAGATTAAGAAAGTTTGTTACAGAACACATTCATTTGGTGTGATAGTGTGCTGTACTTTTTAGTGCTCTTTCTAGGGAGTTTAGCTCACTGCTTGTGAGAATTGGACTGTTGGTCGATATTTAGCTACCCTGACACATAACGGAGGCATGATCCAAGAGGAGCTCATTCAGGTAGACACAAGTCCTGTAGTTTTTTTTTTTTTTATAACTACAGAGCATTATGCCTAATGCCAGCACTCTGACCTGAAATGCTGGCCTGATCTTCCTACAGTGAATTTAATGCAGAAAGCTAGAGGCATGTATGTGATGCAAGACCACTGTAGGCCATACAAGTGCAGGCTGATCTGTCTTGTAGACATAGCCAAACCAAACTTCCTTTCTGTTCGCACTGATAGAGCACGGCTGCAGCATGGCAAACATTACAATGGTCACCATTGCCCTACAGGCAGGGATTGTAGGACCAGGTTTTCTGATACCTTTAAGCAGCATTTTCATATAAAGGAGAATAGGGAATTCAGGGAAGAGTCAACATATTCTTCTGCCTTTAGGGTTAGGATTCCAAATGCAGAAACACAGATGCCCGACTTTAAGCCTCCTGTTTAAAAGTACCAGATGCGCTCACTCATTTTTTGGGGTGAGATTGAGTGCTATATTGGCTTTTAATATCAGATGAGTCATATTGGGCAACTGTTTATACACTCTGTTTGGAGTTTTTGATCTTCATTGCTCCTGCCCACCTTTGGGTAGAACACTTTCCCAAGTGGCTAAAACCTCCAAATCTGCTTCAGAACATGACAGTCGATAGTAACATGAAGTTGCGGTTGCTGTGGGTCTTGAAACCGAGTTTTTGTTAAAGCAGTAGTTCGTTTAAGGGTTGTTAAGGAGCGCTGCTATAGTGACAGGCATTACAAAAGAATCCAGGAAGATAATACAGCATGTACGCTGTGTGACACTTAAGAAACTCAGTTCATTTTGATAGCTGATTTGGAGGTATGTAAATATGCAGCAGAATGCTGAAAGCCAGTACTTTTCCCCACATAACAGATTCTGCTTATGTCTAGTCTTCTGTGACTCAGTGGCCAAGGCCTGAAAGTCCTAACTTGTTTGTTGCTACCTTTCAGTTGTCGCTTAGGTTACAGTGACATGGATGTGCCATAGAACTGCAACTTTCTTCCTGTTCTCAAGCTCATAACATTTGCATCCCTGCCAGACTGCTTATCCTGTAGTCAGCCCATCTGCACAATGGGAATTCTTTATGTAGTTTTACTGTTTTCTACCTGATTATAAAATAGCAGAACTCTGGAGGTTGGAGGGGACCTCTCGAGATCATCATGTCTAACCCCTCTGCTCAAGCAGTGTTGCCAGGACTGTGTCCAGTCAGGTTTTGAATATCTCAAAGAATAGAAACTCCACAGTCTCTCTGGGCAACCTGTACCAGTGTTTGACCACCCTCACAGTGGGACCATCCTGACAGTGTTGTATTAAACTAAGGCATTGATGTAGTGTCTACCAAAAAGTGGGGTTGTTACAATCTGACAGTGTTTGTTAAATGCTCCAGGCAGTTAGATCTGAGGGCCTTTAGACTAAATTTATATAAACTGCATCTTCCTCCTGTATTTTCTTATATTCATTAGGTTTATGTTTTCAAACTGCATTCCTGGAGCTCACTGGTGATGTGGAGATGTCACAGAACATATGCTACGTAGACTTGTCCTCCTGGGCTGGCTTTCACCGTACCCAGCATTACTGGGCGATGCTGTTCCTTGCAACTAGACTCTTACCTTGTTTTTTTTAATGTCCGAATAGCATGATATTGTGTGAGGAATTTGGTCTTGGTGTGGCCCATCATTCATGGAAGGCCAGAGCACAAGCTTCACAACTCAAAGGTTAAGTGAGCCAAAGGCATTTACCCATAACCTGCCAGGGTATGTAAGATCCTTTCTGGGAGAGTAAATAGAGTTCATGTTGATTTAGCCTCAGGGTCCTGTGCTGGGCTTTCTGTTCGGGCGAACAACACATAGATAGTCAAAGAGTGAATCTTGGACCTTTGAGTCTCTGAGTGACAGCTCTTCCAAGTGACTTACATTAAATTCTCCGTTATGCTACATATAGCAGAGCTCCTGGAAGATACATAGAGCTTGTTTTAGCTAGAAGTCTGTTCTGTATACTGCAGTAATGTAATCCACAGTATCCTCCCTATTGTACATAATAATGGTTGATTGTTTTGTGTTCAGTGTCTGGAAGCAGGACCTGGCTCCTTTTCGAGGTGGTGTTTCCAAGGAGATAATATCAGATGTGGTGAGCCGGAAGCTCGGGACACATTACCAAATCATTAAGAACAAATTGTACCGTGAGCAGGACTGCTTGTTCCCTGCAAGGTAAGAGCCATGCGGAAGATCTCTTCTCCCTAGCTGGGACACAGGAGTACTTCCCACGCTGCCAAGCTGAAAGTCATTGAGCACAATGGTATTTTAGAGGTCTGAATTCCTTATTAGAGCAGGAGCCTAGAGAATTTTGTATGAGGCTTAAATGTAGCAAGAGATAAGTGTCGTTGTTGCACTTCAGTGTACAAAGGGTTGGTTGGTTGTGGGATCGCAGAGAAAGCTGCAGATCGGGCCAGATTTAACAGGATGGGTTGCTTCACTGGTGTCTGTACTGCGTTGGGGCTTACAGGCTGCTATAGGCAGTTTCCAGCCTGCGTCATGGTATGGCTCGGGCTTACCATCTCTTCTGCTCCTGTGCAGAGAGAAAGGCCTGCAAGAGACTGTAGGATTCTGCCTTCTCTTTATAGCTCTTTTGCTATATGTCATTTCTGCACAGATGCAGTGGAGTTGAGCACTTCCTTCTGGGGATCATCAACCGCCTCCCTGACATGGAAATGGTGATCAATGTGCGAGACTACCCCCAGGTCCCCAAGTGGATGAAACCCATTATCCCAGTCTTCTCCTTCAGTAAGGTGCACACATCTTTAAAAGCTGAGCATTTCTGAGACATGCATGTTGTCCTTTCTCTTGGGAACGTATTTCTGAGGATGGTTCCCCGCAGATTTTCTGTTTCAAAATTGCTTGCTCTTTTTTGCTCTTATGTTTCCCTTCACTTCCAGTTTTCTGGCAGACAGATTTGCAGATTTATTCAATAGAACAGTTTTGCCCCTCATTAGCTCCCCTTCCATGTCAAAAAATGTACCTCTGCCACAGTGGAACAATGCACAGCTGGATGGGATATGTGCCAGCATTGCTGTCATTTGCTACAATGCCTCTGTTAAAATTGTAGCCATAGTTTATCAGCATTATTAAGGATTTTTGACCATCGCTCAGCTGTCATACAGTTAATCTCATTTAATGTGAATATTTTAGTCCTCTTTTTTGGTACCACAAATAAGTATTTCTTATTTTCTTTTCTGTAATATTGCTATTTCCTGAGAACGCTTTTCCCCTGGATTCCCTTTTCCATCTGCAAACATGCACGCACATGCAGAGGTGCACACATGCATAGAGACATTTGCTCTCTGCTTCTCTGTTCCCAGACTCGAGAACCCTCCTGTATGTTTTCCTACTTCTCCCATTGTTAAACCTGACTGTAGTATAGTATCTCATCCTTTCCAACAAAATATCATTACACCTCAAGCTTTGGCTAATCTTGCTTTGCCTTAGTGTATGACCAGTGTGCCCAAGTCCTGCACCCTTGCTACCTAACCCTGATTGTGATCCTGTCCTTGGCTGAAGCCTAGCAGACAGTAAGGTGCAAAAAGAAGCAATAAACCATTTGCTCTTGCTACTTCAGGCCCTATTCTGTTTCTGCTAACTTGTAGCATCTTACTCTGAACCCAGCTCTTCAGCTCATATAGTCTGAACCATAATATGATCCATAACTATCATGTAGTCCTCAGCCATCCTAAAACTCTCTAGAATTTCAGTACAACATTGCAAGCATTCAATATGTCATTCAGTAACCATGTTCGCTGCCAGATGTAGTAGCAAAGCTAGCTGTCTTGCCCCTTGACCATTGCACAGCCTTAACTCTAGCCAGCAGAACCCAAATTGATGCAGAGCAGGTTGCAAGAGTTTAATCTTTGCAACCGTATTAATCATCCTGCCCCTGGGTGCCTTGCAGGACCCTGCAAGAAACTGAGTTCTTTGTCACCGTTGTCCAATATCTGAACTATGGTCTCAGCCCTATCCTTAACTGAAACCCAGTGATCCAGGCACAGCTCACACTTAACCAGCCAGTGTTAGGAGGGTTCCAGGATGCTGGTCCAGAGTGCTTTCTAAGCCTGAAAGCGTAAGGGATTGAAGGATTGTCCTATTCTGCATCTCAGAAGGCTGACCCTGGGGTGGTGGTGAAGCTGTCATAGTTTGTTATCAATGCCTGTTTATAGCAAGACTGAGAAGGAGCAGATCATAGAAGCATGTACTCATTTAATTTGGAAGGGACCTCAGGAGGTCACCCAGTCCAGCACCTTGCTCGGAGCAGGACCAACTACGTCAGGGTGCTCCAGGCTGTGTCCTGCCCAGATCTGAGCATCCCCAAGGACAGTGTCCACAGACAGTGTTTGACTTCCATCAGAATGAAAACGTATTTCCCAATATCTGCTTGGAATTTCACTTCTTGTAATCAAAGCCTGTTGCCTTTCATTCTGTCTCTGCACTTGTGAAAAGAGTCTGCCTCCATCTTCTATGGACAATCCCATTGGGTAGTAGGAGACACCATTTAGATTCCCCCAAGCCTCCTCTTCGTGTGCATGAACAAACCCATTCCTCAGCCCCAGTTTATGTGTCATTTGCACCAACCTCCTAACTACCTTGGTGGCCTTGGACTGTCTCCAGTATCTCCAGGTGACAGATAGATGGATAATTGTATAAGAATTTTATTACTAGTGCAAGGAAGTAGCCTATAGTCTGGTTTCATGAAAGGGTTTAGTCTTACTTAAGTGCTGGCCCTCCTTCTGCTTATATGGGAATTTAAGCATCCAAACAGGAGTGAGGAACTGAAATTCATACATGACCTGGGTATTTGTTACAGTGAACTGTTAAGCGATCTCTAGGAAGGCTGGAATGAACTGAAGTGTTGGAAACCTAAATGTCAAAGTGTCTATAAGCGCCTGTATCTCTGAGGTGATGATAATGCCTCTTAACTTACCATCAGTAGAAAACATTTGTAGCTACACATAGACACAAGTCTTTAGAAAGGTGAGTGGAACCTGGGTCTTTCACTATTTACTAATCAGCTATACCATGGACCTCTTTTGTTATTTTCTAACATGAAAGTCCTGTGTTGTCATGCAGCAAGTCAGAGCCTTTTTAAAGTCATTGAAACACTTTAATATTGGGTTGTCTTCATATGAACCCCAGCAACACTGTGGTGACCACAAAGCTTTCATGGCTGCTTATGGAACAGTGACGGAGAAAGCTGACAGAACTCCCAGAAGGGACGTTCATTACTGGTGGGCTCAGTCAGTAAACTGAAGTAGATATTACTCTTGTTCTTACATTACTCTCCTTTTTCTTAAGACACCTGAATACAATGACATAATGTATCCTGCCTGGACATTTTGGGAAGGAGGACCAGCTGTTTGGCCAATTTACCCAACAGGTTTAGGGCGCTGGGACCTCATGAGAGAGGACCTCAGAAGGTATGTTTTGGAAATGGTTATGTGTGTGGGGAGGTTTAATGGAAGACAAACTCACAGTAAAAGCCGTATAGCATTGGGCCAATATTGAACTCTAAGACTATAGGTCTGTTGGCCTGTGATCTGTCCTGCTGCCCCTCATTAACTACATACAGCCTAACTGCTCTATAATTCTCCATGGAAACCTTGGATGATGTAACCAGAAGTTATAATTAGCTTCTCTGTTTCCAGCACTTTAGTAAGGAATGCAGAGGATGAAGCATACACATTCTTCATGCTGTCAGGGCCAGATTACTATCATTTTTGGTGGGATAGGGTTTGTCAATAAAGTAGCAGTTATCTTTTGCCTGCAGAAATCTCCCCTGACACATGGAAATATTTTCCTTTGTTTCCAACTACTTCTCTAGGAGCTGTGTTTTTTTCACTGCAGGGATGATCCAGGATGTTTGTATAAGCTTCTGGAAGGTTAAAGGAAAGCCTTCTTTAGATCTGCTTTTACTTGAGTATTATTGTGCAATAGAGAAACCTGGAGTCATTCCCAAGAATCGAGTCATTACTGGGCTGAGAGTAAGACAGAAGAGGTTTCTGACTGGGAGTCTTTCTTTTGGCAGGATCTTTGACTATTAGCAGAATAAGGGGCTGTTTCCCATGGGAAGTGACAAACAAAGTGTGCAACAATGAACATAGAAACATAACAAGAAGAAACACCTTGATGTCAATCACTTGACATCAGAATGCAAGGTTGAATGATTCCCTCTTCAAAATCTGAAGATCTGTGGGACTAATCATAGCTGAAGCCTAATCTGATAGAATAGAATGAAGGTCCAAAGCATTTACTCATCCTTGCTTTCTCAGTGAATGCCACTTGTGTCACTGGGTTATAAACAGATGCAAAGCTTGACCTGTGCAGGTCTGTTTGGGGATCAGGACCTACCTGTCAAGCCAGGTGCAACAGAAAAGTACCACAAAGAGTTCCCCAGAGGGAGGCAGGTGACTGCACTGACAGAAATAAAACATGTGAACAGCTATTTTGAAGGACGTGCTTAGATATAAAATGAAAGTTACTTGGCAAAACAACGAACCCCTGTATCTTAAATGCAAAATGCTAGGCAGGTTTTTAGTTTGTTTGTTTTTGATGGGAAATGGCAGTGGTTAAAAATTCTCTAGTCATTTTGCACTATCCATACTCAGTGAAGTACAGAAAAATAAAGCAATGATACAAAAAATGATTCAAATTTTAGGTAAATTTTAATACCCTTAAAGGTTTGATGAGGGGCTTGTGTGTAATTCATTGTTTTGACTGAAAGATATTCTGAAAAGTAGCCTATACTGTGTTGCCTTAAACATGATATTCACAGGAAAACATGTTTCACTGGACCTGGCTGAGAGTTTTTTCTGCTGTACTGAAGAAAGTGATTTCCATCAAAAATGAAGAATAATAAAAAGAGATCATGCTGTGAAAACTGATGAGAGTGCTGTTTCATGGTTATATGAAATCATTTATTGCCATGTATAAACAATATTTTCAGATCTGCAGAAAAATGGCCATGGATGAAAAAAATCTCTAAAGGATATTTCCGAGGATCCAGGTGAGCATATTTTCCTGTAACAGGAGATTCTACCAACATATGCTGTGACAGCTGTCTGTATGCAGAAATTTCTGTATTTCCAAGACCTAAAAAAGTGTAACCCAGAATGTATTTTTTAAAAGTAAGGAAAGGAGACATTTTGTACAGCAGCATTTCACCATTAGTGATTTTTCCATAAGAATTGCCATTTGCAACTAGTTTATTATAATAAGTCTAATATTGGAAACAGAAGTTGTGATGGATTTGCTAAGTTATTTCTTAATGAGTAAAACTGTTGCACTAGGAACCAGCTTGTTTTGTTCTGCGAAGGGAACTGCAGGTGCATGATACAAATTTAAAGATTTGATGTTGATGTGTTTGCTTCTTGCCAATGTGAATACTTTATTCGCTATGCAAGTGCTCAACCCTGAATCAAAAATATTCTTGCTTTAGGTTACCTGAGTAGTGGGAGATAAGAGAGTAGATTATGTCTGCCCTCTCTCCAGTGACAGTTTGAAAACAATGTTAAACCTAATACTTTGTTCTTCCCCCATCCCCAATAGGGAAGGATTTGATATCTTACTAGATAGGCTCGGGAGATGATGAGGAGTGAGTCTCAGGGATGTCATAACCTTGTTTATCAGTAGTGTTTTAAATTGGTGTCAGAGAGATCAGCGCTGAAGGTGCTTGGCATTTCTTAGCTCTCTTTGACTTAGAAGGGAGTTTATTTGGCACCCATCAGGATAAAGCCTGAAGGAAACAACATCTCTGCTGATTTGTCCTGGGAATTGCTTGAATAATACTATTAAATATTTAGTAAGTGAAATAAAGAAACTTGGCCTCAAATCATTTTGGTACACATAACTCATTCTCTTCTGCTAATGTACCCTTGGACAGAAATATACTGTATGGTAGGCACTTAATGTTTTTGGGGCACAAAGGGAGGTCAGCCTCGTAAAGAGGCAGGGTCTTGAGTCCTGTAGTTTGTTAGCTGTGTTGAATCATGTGGATTGGCAATTACTGATAGCATTTCTTTTGCAGAACGAGTCCTGAGAGAGATCCCCTCATTCTGCTGTCCCGAGAAACCCCAGAACTTGTTGATGCTGAGTACACTAAAAACCAGGCTTGGAAATCTGAAAAGGTGTGTGGGTGTCTGTCTCCTGAGTGTGAAGGCCAGAAAGAATAGCATTGCAAGATGGCTTTGATGATTGAGAAGCGTCTTGTTGGAGAGTTGTGGGTGATCCTCTAGAGTGGGGGAGCCTTGTAGTTCCCTTGATGGCCACACCTCTCTGACAGATGAAAGGAAGGAGTCTTCCAGAGCCTGGGAGGCCAAACATTTTTCTTCCATCTACACTTTTTGTTCAAGGAAACCAGCATACATAAGAAAATGGATCTATGCCAATCCCCAACTCTTCCATTACAATGAAATTAGCCAACTCTTCCCCTTCTAGCCCTGAGCTGCCTGTGTGTTGTTGTCAGTCTTTTTAAACCTTTTTCTGTCATCTCTGTTTCTTGCTCTTCTTGTTGATAACTTTCTGATAACTGTTGCTGATAACTTCTTTTTAGTTCCATACTTAGTCTACAGTCCAGTGCTCTCCAGACAGTCTTGGCTACTCTGGTTACACTTGGCTTCACGTTGTCCCAAGCTGTTTTCCACTCTGTAGCTGCCAACTAAACATTATCATTTAATGTGTTTGTGCTGGTGTTTGCTTACAGGCAGTGTGTAATTTACTGAACTTTTTTTCTTGTTTGAAGGTCTGTGAATTCTTCATAATACTTCTAAAAGCCCACCAGAGAAGGTGTTCTCAGAAGTGGGAATGGAGGGTTTTGAGACTTCAGCTTTGTTTCTAACTGAGAAGGAAAACAAATATGAAATCACTATATAAAGCTTACTGATTTTTTTTTTTTTAATTCCCTTTATTTTAAGGACACCTTAGGGAAGCCTCCTGCAAAGGAAATTCCACTGGTTGATCACTGCAAATACAAGTAAGAGTTTTCATTAATAAAACTGTTCAAGGGCTGTGGGTTTTTTTCTTTCCTTGCACAGTGTAAGGCCTCATTTTATTTTAGGGTCTAATTCCAGCAACCAGCTCCAGGCAGATAAGAAAGCTTGTGAACAGACGTAAGGCAGTTGAAAATTTGGGAGTTTAGCATGGCCTGTTTCAGTGCCAGTTTTCCCCTGTCAGTTCAGGAGAAATAAAGTGCTTTGGGGAAAGTAAAGGTCTTAGATCACTAATAAACATAAAGATAAAATTTTTTTAAAATCAAAAAGGCTTTCTGTCAGTCTTTCTTTATATTCCTGTACCAAGCTGTGTGTTCAGAATTATTTTTTTGATGCTACAGTGATAGCATTACCGTCTTCAAAGACATAAGGAGCTAAGGAGTCATGTCTTCATATGCATATGGGGGCAAGTGTTGCCACTGGATGTATATAGAAAAAGGGAGAACCTGAAGTATGATTGAGCAGATACAGTATTGATTCATACTTTGTATGTTGTTTAGGAGAATGTGGTTTTGTTTACAAAGGTTTTTATTTTTTAACTACTTTAGGGAGGGGTTTTTGGTGTAATATTCTTGCAGGTTTCTGTGTAAAAATGTGAACTTGTAGTACGTATGCACTTGTATGTCTGATGTTTTGCTTTTTCTTTTGCTTTAAAATTACCTAGTTATGATTCTGCCAGCTAGAATCTGCCGATACAAGAACTCAGTCATTTGGCTGGATCTCTGTTTTTGTGCAAAATGTGATTGACTTGTCTCATTTTATATTTCACTAGACTGTTGCCCAGATTTCTCCTTTCTGTTACACATAGAATTCACTACCCTGATGCCTCCTAAGGTCCTCGTACAGTATAGGCTGAGACATTCTTACACGCTTTGTCATAGCCCAGGGTCTTGTAGGATCAACATGAACTTCTCACTGCTTCCTTCAGTGTAGGTGCTATAGCAGGCTGTCTGAGAGCAGCGCTCAGTGACTTGCCTGAGGTCACAGATGGTGGGAGCTGTGTCTGGAATTGGACAGAGGCATTTCCGCACCTCCAGACCACTGTGCTTGTTACATCTCTGCACGTATTTGTTGAGTTCCTAATACAACGAGCTACTCATCCCTGCCTTGAACTCCTAGGCAATACAAAGAATGCAGAACAATTTGAGATTTACTCCTTGTCACTTATAGCTAAACTTAGTTCAGCAGTAATTCCCATCTCACCCAAAATAAATATAACATATAATCCCCATCTTGCCCAAAATATCTTCATTAAAGGAAGAACTCCCTTCCCCCAGCCCAAAATGTTTGACTTCAAAGATAGTTATATGTACTGAGGGGTTTTACCCACAGGAAAAACAGCTTTCCATATAATTGGAGAAATGTGGGTTTAAAAAAGAAAGCAAGTAAGCAAACAAACATCCCTCTGAGATACTGTTTGCTAAGAGAAATCCGCCCCCAGTCAAGCCCACTTTACTAACTTGGCAGAAAATACTGAAAACAAAATTGTGGATTCTTTGTTATCTGCAAAGTCCATCTGTTGTGTGCTAGCCTATTTAACCTCCTAGGGTTGCATTCCTAAGTTAATATGAAACAATTAGATTCAGATTAAAGCAGAATCCCAGAGGAAAAAAAAAAAACAACAAAAACCCAACTGAGAGAGATGTGGCAAAGCTGAACAATGAACAGAGAAGCTCAGTGCAAGACAAGAGAGAACTGGGAAAAGGCTCCTCATGGCAACAGCATCTCTGAAGCGTAGAGTCACAGGATCAGCATCCACGTTGTGACCTTCCATGCCTTGTTGGCAGTTGTCCGTGAGGCCTCCTTTGGTTTGTTGCAGGCAGGTGTCTTTATCGGAGGTAAAGCCTCGTGCCTTGATTTTCTTCCTCAGTTTTGAGAGACAGCAGAAATTTACCTAGCATATCTTTAACCTCAGCTCACCTTTCCTGTGAGGAGCTTCAAATAAATGTCTTCCCTTTGTTTTAGCGACCAGTGCGTAGCTTGGTGTGAGGGAGACACCCCCCCCGGCCTCAGCTGCTACCTGTGAGGGAAGGTTGACTGCTACTTGAAACCCAGTTTCTTAGTGCATTTCCTCACAAAATGCCGAGTATAATCAGGTCCCTCTCTTTGCTTATCCCTTTAAAGGTATCTGTTTAATTTCCGGGGAGTGGCTGCCAGTTTCCGGTTGAAACACCTTTTCTTATGTGGTTCACTTGTGTTTCACGTTGGAGAAGAGTGGTTGGAGTTCTTCTACCCTCAGCTGAAGCCTTGGGTCCACTACATCCCAGTCCGATCAGACCTCTCTAACGTCAGGTGTGAGACCCCAAGTGTGCTCAGCGGAGCATGAAAAACACTGCTGTGTTTGGGAAAGTGGTTTGGTTTGTATTACACCAAGTAGTGCCTCCACTCCTAGGCATCTCCTAGACAAAGGCTCTTGGAGATCATGTTCTTTTCTCTTTATTACTGCCCCCAGAGAATCATTTGGTCATACTACTTAAGAGAGTACAGTTTCACTGGAGTGTGTAGGTCTATCGCCCTCACTGAAATTAGCAGGCACTAGGCACTTAAATTTGCAAGTGGGCCCTGCAGCACAGATAAGGGGGAAGAGGAACTTATCACGGGGCCAGTAATGTGTTAGCTCCCATATTTTAGCATGCTGTCCAGAACTGATATGGAACAAATGAGAAGGGCAAGTTTCTTCTGTGCTCTGAAACGAGGAGCACCAGTCCCTCGCTCAGCTGTAGATTCTTAATGTCATCCTCTGCAATAATTTAGCTAAGGGACAATGTTCTCCATTGAGATAGTTGTTTCATAGCATTTTTTTGGCCTTCATTTTAGGGAGCTGCTGCAGTTTGTAAAGGAAAATGATGCCATAGCACAAGAAATTTCAGAGAGGTAGGTTGTGCGTCCTTTCTGGCTGTCATGTAGTCTTCTTCCAAAGCATTTTCTTAAGCAGCTTTTGAAGGGGTTACCTATCAAAGACAACCTAGTATTAATAGGGTGCAGTATAATTGATCTGCTGCAATAACAGCAGGAGGGTTGGCGAACTCGTAACAAGCGAACAAGTTTATATGCTTAGGTCATTGGTTCAGCTGTGACCCATGTCAGGAACCCCACTGAAAGCCATCAGAAGTTGGGAGCTTTCGTCTCAGTATGAGGTGAGTTGACCCCTGGGAACTGTGTCTGCGTTGCAAACATTATGTATCCAGACTGGCCGCGACTGGCTTCTGAAGCAGCGTGCATCAGTGCTGCTCAGGCTGTATTTGATATCTGAAATCTGATATTTATTTTCCCAGTTAACAAATACCATCTTGAGGATAACAAAAGCACTGCAACTGTCAGAGCTGTGACCGTGAATGAAGATTGTGATATTAAAATAGATGGTACAGGGCAGTGCATGTTGTTTCTCATTTGAAACGCAGAAGAGTGAAAGTTGATACACATATAAAACATAAACCAAAGACCCTTGTAGGAACTGGAAATTGGTTCTGACTGTGCCTTGTGTGTCTCTAGGGGACGCCAATTCATCACCGAGCACTTGCAGATGGAGGATGTCTCTTGCTACTGGGAGCATCTGCTGTCTGAATATTCCCAAGCCTTGACTTACAAAGTGAAAAGGAGGAAGAGCTACAGCGAGATCACTTCTGAGTGGCTGAAAACAGAACTGTAGAGACTAATCTGTTTTTCTCTTCAGCTCAAACTGATCTCTGTGGAAATCTGAAGATCAGTGTATCTTCTTTCTTGTTCTCTCAGACTTCTTATCCTTCACGCTGCAACTACCGTGAACAGCAATAGGCTAACTTTGAAATTGCTCCCATACAGTGGGACCCAGTTATGCTATCACCATAAGAATGTTAAGTAGAATGTTGGACTATGGCTATTTAATGGGGTGGTTATGGTCATGCCTGGGAGAGGGTTGTTAGCATTTGGGACTTTGTTACTACCTGTGTCAGAATGATCCTAAATCCCATTCAGTCAATGAGAAGCCTGTCTGTTAATTTTACTGGGCTTTTTACCAAGTCCGCTGTACTCATGGGCAAGGTACACAGACTGTCAGCTACATGCAGCTGGGAGATACATGCCCCTTTTTTTGGCAAATGGTCAATGTTTTCTCACCTGTGATATTAGGTGTTCTCTGACAGAAGCAGGTACTGGGATTTGGGGTAACCTTTTTAGATAGCCTAGAGCTTATGTTTATGTCAGGTTTTAGAAGTTGATGGTAGGGCTTTGATGTGCCATTGAAAGGACAAATGATCCTTGCACAGTTAAACTACCTCACAGGGGAGCAGTTGGTGATGATGATGTTGCCACAGCGCTAAGCCTGAGTAGCAGACAGTCAAGCAGTTGGCAACTGAGATAAAGACAGTTCATCCTCTGACAGATGAGCTGGGTGCCTGCACAGCCACACAGAACCAAGCCCCTGTTAACAAGCTCTCGCCAGCTGCCTGGCCAGACATCCTTAAGAACCCAGAGAAAGTATATGCAGAGGTAGAGTCAGCTCTTCTTTTTCCCAGATGTTCACAGATTCTCTGCTCTGATCTTCTTCTGTAAACTGTCTAGGGTTGTTGGGGGGGGGGCGGTTTGAGGCTGGTAACACATCTGCTCACTTCAGTATTTGCTTTTCTTTCACACTGCCGTCACACTCCTTTTCTCATCTCTTTCAGTCTGGTTGAGGGAATGTCTTCAGCCACACAGTGGCAGCTAGTTCTCACATTACTCATTTTGAGTTCAGTCACAGGTTGCTTGCGCTCACTGTGTTTGTACCCACTATGGGCTGCTCAGCCCAGGGGGAGTGCAATTTCTGAAATGCTCTGTGGCCCCTGAGTTGAGAGGCCTGGTGGGAAGCAGTGTCTTCTCTGGCATCCAGGCAGGTGCTCAGAAGAGCTTGGGCAGGGGCACGGGGTCCCAGGAGAGGGCCACTGCCTCCTCGGCGAGCACCCTTGATGCCGAGCGGCCTCAAGGCGTAGGAAGCAGCACATGGATGGAAGAGAATGGTAGCCACAGCTCAGGTCTCCTCTGCAGTCAGTTTGGATCAGAGAAGGAGAAAACACTACAAGGAACAATAATGCTAAGTGCACCTATGCGTGTCTGTGCTCGCACAGAGGCCTTGCAGCACTGCCAAGCCCGGGTGCAGGGACGTAGTTGCCAGACCTATTCATCAAGTGCCAGTTGCTGGAGCAGCACGCCAGTTATGTGACCGGCGCCTGGGTTATCCCAGCCTGCAAAGGAAACAAATCAGGGTACTAAAATAGCCTAGTTTCCAAGGAAAATAACTGTGCGAGAGTGGAAGGGTTTTTTTGGTTGTGTATTTTTAGTTAAGGGAGAAGGTGAAACAGCTATGTCTAATATTTTTAAAGTGTTTTTAATGAAGTGTTTTTGGAATAAAACATGAAAATGAAGTTTTGTTGGATGCATCATTGCTTAGTCAGAACTGTACTAAAAGATCTGGATTGCCCCCGGCTGTTCTGCCAAAGTGGGGACGCGGGGTTCTGTTTTTGCTCTGTCACAGCAATGCGTAGGGTGTCTCTGCTTCCAGTCTCGGTGGCTGGAAACTTCCTCTGGTCGGTCGCCTGCGTGCGCGGGGGCCCGTTCGGTCCGATGCCGGTTTTTTTCGCGTTGCTGAACGGGCTCTGGCTCTGCTTTTCCTCCCTCGAGAGGACGAGACCCTCGCCTCTACCTGCGGGGAGGCCGAGCGCTCCCGGCGGGGCGGCCCGGCCCGGTGCTGTCCCGCGGCGCCGTGCCCCGCCGGGGCGGCAGGGG